TTTGTACTCTAATTTATTTTAAATTAATTTTATTAGAGTTTTTTAAAATAAATTAGAGTACAAAATGTCACTGGCCGGAAACTTTTGCACGCCACTGTATATATATATATATATATATATATAACTCTGATTTATGTACACATTGTCTTTTTCTTATACAGATTTCCTGTGCCAGATTTAAGACCACTGCACGATATGAGTCGTGCGCCATGGTGGAAGAGATCTGTGAGATCTGATTATATGATAGTGCAAATGACAGACGCACAAGTTCATTCCACCATGGACAGTCGATCTCCTTGTTTAGCTAGGCATGAACTGCAATGTCGGCGGCTATCGTTGTTGTACATAGAAACCGAGGGCGACACGCCAATCGAAATCGGTTTAGCCACAGCCGACGAGAAGAACGACGCCGCGTCGTATCAGCAAGTCAACGATGATCTCGGTTGGGCGAGAGTGGTAATCATTGTATATCCAGAACGTCTTGGTGCTCCGTTGGAAGATAGTTCTGAAGAGGAAATGGAGAATGATAAACGGATTTTGGACGACACCTTGGAAAAAACTCCAAAACATGCGCCTTCCCCGTTCACCTCTAGACGAATCATGCGCGAATCCGACACGGTTCATTCGAAATCTCACGAACGCGGTCAGAAGAACGAACAAAGGTTAGCTTTGAGGATGACTGTTCTAAATGTTCTTAAATTTTTAAAAAAATTTAATTAAAAATCATTTTTAACGTTCAAACAGTGACGGTGAGGAGCTAATTATACCTGGTAATCGACAAGAAATGTTGGAATTTATCGAAGAAGGCATACATGGCTCGAGATTACAATTGGAAATCAATTTACCTTGTGCTTCCGTCCAGATACCATCTAAACGCATTTACGAGCAGCTCTACAATCGATTCAACACCGACTTGTTCTTGTGGGAACCGTCAGCGCCGAGACCCAAATATACCACTCATATGGAAAATCATATTGGTCTCGACTTGGCATCTACCCTCTTGCAGGAGTCTACATATCCCAAGTTGTATCTCTTAAAACACATTTTGTAGAATATTACTGACAATGAGTGACGATTGCTAAACTTACGTTATCGCTTGCAGATTCAGCATGTGCAAAAGTGGGATACAATACAATTCCGACTCCGATTCGGACGAAGAGGGTATATTCCATTCTGCAACGAATGAGAAAGGTCACAAGGAGGCGCGAATGTCATCGAAGAGAGCACAGAGCAAGCTGGCGATGACTCTGAGCATCAGTCAGGGTCTCCTGTCTATGTACACTCCTGTGCGCGACTCTATGCGCAACGTCATACCCGGTCAACAGGGAGAATTGATCATACGGCTGGAGGACGCCACGATATTTTCCGTGACCGCGTACAAGGGGAACGTTAATCTGAGCTACGCCTGCGCTATGATGAGAAGCGTGTCGTTGGATCACTGCGGCCTGACAACAAGCCCGTCGCAGACACCGCCGTTGAGATGTATCAACAGCGTTAGGCCGCGATACTGCGAGAGGACGATATATCGCAGCGCGTCCGGTAGTAGTGTAGCGGCGAGTCCTAGTGACAAGGACATGGTGACGGTCGCGGTGAGAATACAAGCGGCACATCAGACGCATCGTATAAAGACTTTCCGAGTCGCGATAGGCATAAGCAACGCCACACTGAGGCACCGAATGTGTTCCACCGCTACCTCGTGGTTCACGGAACTTATGGATTGCCTAGACGTGACGGATCATCCTGTCGCCGGTTACACACCGCCGGGCATCCTCACCGAGCTGCATCTGCATCTGTGGGACTGCGCGATCGATTACAGGCCGCTTCACCTGCCGCTGCGGTCCGTCGTGACCCTCGGTAATTTTAGCGTGTCGAGCAACATCACGGCCCAGACCAACACGTCGACGTTGCGCTTCATCGCGGAGGACGTCGCGCTCTTTATATCGGACAAGCTGCGCGAGAAATCGGTAGATCTAAAGCGGGACTACGTGTGCGTGATGAATTTCGGCCTGTTCGAGTTGTCGCTGCGTCTGAACGAGAGGATGTACGGTGGCGTGCCGCGGGTCGATCTACGGGCGAGCAACAACGTGTTGCATGTGCGCACGTGCTCGGACTCCGGCCGCGCTCTCATGCAGCTGCTCACTTACATCGCCAACGACGGTGATTTGCATCAGCCGAGTAGCGCGATCAACAGCAGCACCGAGAGCATACCCATCGTGCCGCCGCCGACGTCCACGAAGTTCGAGGAGAATCTTCTGGGCGTCGAGAGCATCAACACGCTCAGCAGGAGTCAGGTCGAGCGAGTCTACAGTCTGATGGAGGACGCGTTGGAGGAAACTGTGAAGGGGGGGACGACGACCCACAATCAGAGTGGCAACGAAAGTGAGAAGATACCAATGACCGAGAATCGGGTTGAGTTTTTCTTTCCTGACGATTCGTGTGCTGCCACGCGAGAGGCAGAAGCGCGAAAAAGTTCGCAGGAGTGCGGCAAAACGATCGCGTGTAACGCCGAGGATGACGACGACGATGACGAATTTTGTATCTTGGGAGAGGAGGCTGGTACGGGAATAATACCACGCTACGGAGTACCTGAGATTCGATCGTTGTGCCAAGAGCCGTTGAGGATAGTGGACAATCACTTTTCCGTGCCGGTCGGCAAAACCGACCTGCTGCAGACTCCACCGAATTACCCCGCGCCTGTATTGAAGTACACCCTCTGCGAAATGACGTTAATATGGCACATGTACGGCGGCAATGATTTCGACAGTTCTCAACCGCAATCCGCGAAGCACGTGACCATCAGTGACGTTCGCAACAATATCGCGCATGGAAGGTAAGGAAATTCAAAGTTAAATTATTAAAGCAAACCTCGCCTATGCAACTCTATAAGTATATCTATAGATTACATTCTCCCCCTTTCTCTTTTCTGCCCTTGTTCCGTAATAGAAGTAGATCAGCCATAGGTGCAGTAGGCTTCAACAAGTCTAGTCCGAACGAAGTGCACTTCGGCAGCGTGCCGAACTCGCCGCGCGCAACGAGAAGCAACGAATCGTTGATCGATTGGCACACATTAGGCGGCCCGGGTCGGCGGCACGACGTGCTGATGGAATTGCAATTGAGCAAGGTGCGCTTTCAGCACGAGGTCTATCCGGAGAACACCCGGGAGGCGTCCAGGCAGGTGCTACTGGTGCACGAGATTGAAGTGAGGGATAGACTGGCGTCGTCGCACATAAACAAATTCCTTTATCAATACAGCAGCGAAGCGAGACCAAGGCAGTCTCACTCTATTATGTTTACCATGAAGGCAGTTCACGTAAGGCCGGATCCCAGATTAAGTGCCCAAGAATGTTGTTTGAAACTTAGTCTACTGCCACTGCGACTGAACATAGACCAAGATAGCCTACTGTTCTTAATACAATTTTTTAACGAACTAGGCGGTGGATCGAAGCGAAGCCAAGAAAGCTCTAGCACACCTAATAGCTCGCAATCCACCCCCGTATCGAAACAAGGAACACCCACGCATCATCCGCCCATTATGAGCGTGAATGATGATGCGTTGACGAATGACGCGATGATGAATATGTCGCAGAATAATATCATTGATCAGAATCTGTTGATACTCTTGGAAGACGAGCTGACGTTCAGGGAGAACAAGATCAAAGCGAAGACTATCCGTCATGTCCACGACGACAGTCAGCCGATATACTTTAGGTGGGCGATTGAAATTTTTATTTTGATACTTAATTTTATTCGCAATAGAAATTGCAAGGGTATTAATTTCCGTGTTTAAAATTTGGTCTTCAGGAACATTGTATTCGGTCCGGAGGTTCTCATCAGATTGGATTACCACGGGAAACGCGTGGATTTCACTCACGGGCCATTGGCGGGCTTGCTAATGGGTTTGGCGGAACTGAACTGTTCTGAATTAAGACTGAAGAGATTATCGTACAGGCACGGATTGTTGGGTTACGATAAACTTTTTACATATCTAGTTTCGGAATGGTTGCAGGATATCAAGAAGAATCAACTCCCGAGTTTACTTGGCGGTGTGGGCCCGATGTACTCTGTAGTACAGCTGTGTGAGTATATACACACTTGACTCGATCTCGAGCTTTCGCTTAGAAGTCAAACGCGATGCTATTTTTGTTAATAAAATTATACGCGGTGTAATAAAAAAAAACCGCATCGTTTTACCTTGCAAAATTTTTATAACAATCAGTTATTTAAATGGTTTAATTATATGAAAATTGCAAGGAACGAAAGTCATTTTTTCAAATTTTAAAAACTATCTCTCTGCAGTTTGTACCTCCTTCTTTTTTGAAAATACGTCAATCAAACTTGAATATCTTCTGCACGCTGGCCCTAAGTGACAAAAATTTACTAATATATGGGTAGACACTTGAATATAATATTTGATTGCACTCTTTGTAGTTCAAGGAATACGCGATCTATTTTGGTTACCAATTGAACAGTATCAGAGGGATGGGAGAATTGTCCGTGGGTTACAGCGCGGAGCAAACAGTTTTACAACGTGTACCGCAATGGCTGCGTTAGAACTGACATGTAGAATAGTGCAGGCGTTACAGACCACGGCCGAGACCGCGTACGACATAGTTAGCCCTGGCCCCAGCGTGAGATGTAAGAATAAAGGACAGAAGGGTCGACGAAAGAGATACAGTCAGCCGCTGGATATCCGCGAGGGGGTGGCTAACGCTTACACATTAGTCAAAGAGGTAATTCTAAATTCTCTGACAGACGATATATTAAATAACGTATTTATTCCAGGGGTCGGTCGTATTTAAAATAACAATATGTAAAATATACATTTTAAATAACAAAAAGTAAAAGAGTTATTTAGTATTTATTATTTTAAAAAACTTCTGATCTATTTTATATTTAATATTTTAAATATGTTTTTGGAATCTATTTTATATTTTTCATTTTAAATAAGTCGTGTTTCTGGAATCTATTTTATATTTGTTATTTTAAATAGGTTATATCAGTTACTTTACCGACTTTTGCTTATCAGGGATCGGTCGTATTTAAAAAAACATTTAAAATATCTAAAATATAGTATTTTAAATTTAAAAAAGTAAAAGAATTATTTAGTATTCCAAATAATTTCTTCTGATCTATTTCTTATTTAATATTTTAAGTATGTTTTTGGAATCTGTTTTATATTTTTCATTTTAAATAAGTCGTATCAATTTTCTATTGGCCCCTGCGATATTTTATTTTAAATAAGTTTCTGGAATCTATTTTATATTTGTTATTTTAAATAAGTTGTATCAGTTATTTTACCGACCCCTGCTTTATTCTACCCAAAATTATAATATCTATATAATAATAATGATAATTGAAAAATAACAAGGTAAATAATAACCTGTGTTAATTTATCGTTGCTATTTCCATTCCGTTCTTTAATATATTACATCCGTAATAATCTCTTTTGATTATTCAGGGTTTAGGCGAGACTGCAACTCAACTGGTTCGCGTGGCGAGCGAAGAACACGAGCACAAGGGCACTGTCGGTGCGGTCGGCGGAGTATTGCGACAAATTCCACCGACGGTCGTGAAACCGATTATTCTGGCCACCGAGGCGACCAGCAACGTGTTGGGCGGCATGCGATCGTCGCTAGTGCCCGATGCGCGCCGAGAGGCGGTACAAAAGTGGCGGCAAGATTCCGACGCCTGTTAAAACCTCCCGTCGAACGCGCGGAAAATGGGAAAATTGCTAGATCGTTATCGGATATCGTCAGTCAATTTCGCTCAAGCAACGCTTTTCGATCGCGGCCGATCGCGGCCGAGCCACTTTTTTTATTGTAACATATTCATGACATATATATATATATATACACACACATTACGGAAAGAGAATGCTAAGTAGGCTAAGAGTGCCATACGTTTGCGTTACGTTTGGCGATATTGTGATTATAACGATTATTCGCTCACTAGATCGATCGTGAATTATTGTCGCTCGATCTGTGCGAGTCTGTTATTAGGCCTCGAAGAGAGACGTGGATCGTCGATAAGGGAGAGACGAGACACCGCGAGAGGAGAGCCGCCGCCGCCGCCTCTCCTTGGATCCTAATTACGAGTGCTATACAATGTTGACGTAGTCAGAGATCGGTTCCATTGATTTTTTTTTTGTACATTACGAGTGTGCGACGCATCTCTCTCTCTCTCTCTCTGGCATCGGACATCTAATGATAAAATCTTAGTCTAAGAGTTGCCGCGCTAATTTCGTTACAACTGTACAAAATACTTGTTACACTTATAGATTGTAATAGCTACGTTCTATCGCGCGAAGGAATATATTATGCCGCTTCTATATTCCTTCTCTATATATTTTTTTCTTCTGATCATGTGTTTTATACCAATGATATGTGTATCCGAAGGGTTTTTATTAATAAAATTATACACAGTAAACGAAAAAAAAACCCCCGCATCGTTTTACCTTGCAAAACTTTTATATAACAATCATTTATTCAAATTGCAAGAAACGCATTATGTTAACTATTCGGTTGGTAGAGACTTGATTAGGAAAGTAGCAGAATATTTCTTCGTTTATTATCATTAAATCATTTACTTAAATTGTACCAAAATTGGAAGGAACGAAAGTCACTTTTCCGAATTTTAAAAACTATCTTTTTGTATCTCCTTTTTTCAAAACTCAAGTACCTATAGTACGGGACTAGGCATATTTCAAGTACTTGTATTTGAAATACAATACATGAAATACAATTTGTATTTTGTATTTCAAATACAATTTCAATCTATTTTGTATTTGAAATACTAAAGAAATTATTGATAAAAATTCTTGACAATAATTAATAGTAACTTGAATTTTTCTGATATGACAATTAGCGACAATATTTATTTTCGTCAAGTTTCAAGCAATATCAAGTCATCAGAGTCAAATTTCATAATCTCACATTAGTAAATAGATTTCTCGTGCGGTTGATACAGGACAATAGGACTGTTAAAAAGTGCAAGAGAGTAAAACAATTTTTCTTTTTCTCTCTAAAAGTCGAGAGGGGACTGTTGAAGGGGGAAATTTAATATTATATATTATTGTAATTGGAAGATTAAATTAAAAAGTATTTTGTATTTTAAATAAAAACTTCTCAGCAAACAGATTATAACTGCAATGTTGCAGTAAAATTGTAACAATTCAGTTGTATTGCAGAAATATTATACAATGTTGCTGCAATATTGTAGTTATAATCTATGTTTGCTGAATTGAAAGTATTTTGTATTTCAAATCAAAAGATTGAAAGTATTTTATATTTTGAAATTTAAATACTAAGATTCCCAGTATTTTGTATTTTGAACACTTTAATGGTGTATTTTGCCCAGCCCTGCCTATATATACAGGGTGGACCATTTTAATCCATCCAGGCGAATATCTCGAAAATCAAGCGCGAGAGAGAAAAATTTTTCAGACAAAAGTTGTAGGGTTTCGAGGGGGACATAAGATGATAATATTGGTTTGACCCCGAGTGGCGTCGTCAAGGTCAGGACAAGGTCACTATGAATTTTTTAAATGGAACCACCAATTTTTTATTACATGTTCTTATAGCACGCCTCCAGAACTTTCCAAAACACATAAATAAAATATTTTTTTATGAAATAAATCTTGAGTTATAAAGCTTGAAAGTTGGAGTACTGTCGGCATTAGCATCATCCAAGGTGTCCAAACACTAGCTAAAACCTTTTGAATGTTGTTCAGGATCATGACATTGATAAAGGCCAACGACCTTGGCCATCTTTAGCTAGTGTTTGGACACCTTGGATCAATACTCAAGGTCATAACTCAAGATTTATTTCATAAAAAAATATTTTATTTATGTGTTTTGGAAAGTTCTCGAGGCGTGCTATAAGAACATGTAATGAAAAATTGAGGGCTCCATTTAAAAAATTCAAAGTGACCTTGTCCTGACCTTGACGACGCCACTCGGGGTCAAAAATGTTATCATCTTATGTCCCCCTCGAAACCCTACAACTTTTGTCTGAAAAATTTTTCTCTCCCGGGCTTGATTTTCGAGATATTCGACTGGATGGATTAAAATGGTCCACCCTGTATATATGCTCGTTCTATTCTAAAGATGAAAAGTGCGAGAGAGATAGAGAGGAGGGTAGGCGAGAGGGATGACGGCTGGCCAGTAGCGGAAAGCGGAATTAACATTGGGTGCGACGGAGCTGAGGCCTGACTGAGGCGCGTCCGTCCGTGCGCGACAGTCGGGAAGATGCGTCAGAGAGCGCTCGATCGTTCCGCGTGACGAGTTAAAGGGACGGCGAGGAGGCGCCCGTCAGCGAGCGCCCGTTTACACGTAATCCGTTCGCGATCGCACGGGGCGGCGAATCGGCGATTATGCAGCCTCGTTTGACGCGCCTGTGTTGCCGTACAATCAGATGAAGGAGCCCGACCTTCGTTCTCCGACATCACGACTCGACGATCGGAATGGTTTCCCTCACGCGGCTCTCTTTCGTCGCGCTTCTCTGTGGTAAGCGGCCGTCGACGGGTCGACTGTACGTCGACGAGTGTTTTGCCTTCCCCGCGTGCTGCACGCGGGGAAGGCAATGCATGTACATTTTTACGCGATACTTGAGGGTTTCGGTGCTTTCCCGTATATCGTAATTTTATGTATCGGCCGATCGATAGCAGACGATTCGCTTGCGATATTCGTTTAATTCGATTACCGTGGATTTTTCTTGTACGTGTTGTTCGTCAAGTAATCGGATTATATCGTCGTATATATATACATCTCATATACATATATATAGAGAATTTAAAAACATTTGTTCGCACATTTCGGGCTTGCGATACGTTTCGCGCAATTTTATCTACAATAAAGTAACAAATTAATTATTATATTTCCATTCTGTAAACTGTCGCTGTATTTACAATAAAATCCAATAAATTCTACCGAGATGTCTCGACAAACAAATTCAATTTGATTTTACAACGACACGAAGCAGCAGAATTCGTGCATCTCGATCGCGGCGAAAGAAAATATTTTCGACTTCCCTTTACCGTTTAATTACATCTTAGTTTTCTTTTCAGCGGTTCTGTCGCATACGGCAGGGTCGCGGGTTATCGAGCTGAGTGATAGGTAAGAGATATTCTGCTGCTTTCCCATCAATGCAAATCTCTATCAATAAGTCTCTAAGTGGTTAACTTGATGCATTAATTCTTACAGATTTCTGGATGCACACAAAGATGGACAATGGCTAGTTATGGTATATATGCTTAATATTCTTGCGTCATTAGCCATTACGTTTAAAAAGTACAACTACTTTTATTTTTATTTTTTATCCTTTTTTTTTATAGATGTATGCACCATGGTGTGCACATTGCAAAAGATTGGAACCGATCTGGTCTCATGTTGCTCAACACTTGCACGCAACGTCCATACGAGTGGGCCGAGTGGATTGCACTAGATTTACCAGCGTAACGAGTGCATTCAAAATTAGAGGATTTCCCAGTATTTTATTGTAAGCAGACTCCTCGTTCTCTCGCAACTAGCAACGCATTCTCGTATTCTAGTGTGTGTGACGGCATTTTTATTTTACAGTTTAAAAGGCGATCAGAAATACGTATACGACGGCGACAGAACTAGAGAAGAAATAGTGAAATTCGCTTTAAGATTAAGCGGTCCTCCCGTGCAGGAGATAACGAAAACACAGAGTTTCGATACCATAAAGAGAGAACACGATCTCTATTTCCTGTACGTAGGGGACAGATCTGGAGTTTTGTGGGTAAGCTCCTTTCACAATTTCGTAATATATTATCCAAGATAGAAATCCAAACATTCATGTGTGTCCGCATTTGAATGAATGCAGGAGCTTTATCACAAGACTGCGAACCTATTTCAAGCGCATGCATTTTTCTACCAATCTCATCCGAGCGTCGTGAATAATCATGCGCCTGTAAACAACGTTCCGGCGTTATTCGTCTACAAGGAGAGTTTGCATTATAATTTCACCGGTGAGTCGATTAAAATAAAGAAAAAAAAGGGGATGATCATTATTGCTATCTATATAGTATATCCAGGGATTGAAAGTAACTCGTTACTTGTAACGTCGTTACCGTTACAATTACTTTTTTTTAGTAACGGATTGGTAACGGCGTTATTTTTTTGGTAACTGTAACGGTAACGTAGTTACTCTTTTTTCGGTAACGATAACGAATTATACAATTAGTTTATCGTTACTTTTTGTATTTTGAACTTTCTGTATTTATGACAAAATTTTATTATATTATATTTATGTATATTCAATCTTCAGGTTTTAGTTAGTATTCACATAGTTTACTCTTATTTTAAGACTGTTTTAAATAATGTTTTAAAATATTAATATGGCTCTGTGATTAGTTTATGACATCTCAAGAATGCCATAAGTCAATCAATATCACAAATTGAATTGACAAGTAATTTA